AAAAAAAAAAAAGAACTCCAAACTTAGTTCTGTTTCATGTATTTACTAAGAAGGTGTATTAAAATTGAGCTAATCTTGAAAGAGTAGATACAATTAAAGGAGTGGTAATAGATCCTAGTGTCTAGCGTTGGAAGGTGGCAGAGTATATTGCAAAGAGCGAGAGGTTCTCTCCAAGTAGTGAAATGCTGCGTAATTTTTTTCTTTAGATTTTTCATGTCTTTTAGATTTTCTACAGTGAATGTTTATTACTTTTATAATCAAAAGGACATGTAATTTTAAGTCTAGATTTTGGAGTCATTCCAACCAAGATTTATATGCTGACCCTGCCACTTAAAACTGTGACCTCAAGCAAGTTGCTTAACCTGCCTGAGCCTTGATTTTAGAATAGATAAAATAAGAGATAATGAAATCCTCAGAGTTGTGAGGATCACATGAAAATCTGCCGACACAGTGCCTGGCGCATAGTAGTAATCAAGAAAAATTAATTCTCATCTTCCTACATGACATGCATTTTCCCTAAAGAAAACTGGTGAGGACATATAGGCCCTTATAATGATCCCCACACAAAGTCAGATCCATAAGTCTCTTGTTACCTTGACTGAGACTGGCCCCTTCCAGTTCAAGTACTGCTCTAGTTCTGTGCCTTTAGCCCGGGCCCTGGAGGAGTCAAACACTTTCCTCTTGGAACCCTGCATCCTGCCACAAACGTTGGAGTGTCTCTCCAGTCTAAGCAAGAGAAACTTGCGTCCACAGTGGCTGCACTCGCCCAGTGATGGCTCTTCAGCAGAACAGCTGGAACCTGAGGAGTCTGGTGCTCTGGACAGGCTAGAATATCTGGTGTGTCCATGCAAAGGACTGCCAGGCACTTCTGAAGGCTGAGAGAACTTCTCCATTGACGGCCCTGAGATTTGGTCTCGAATTTTGTTATTGCTTGCCACCAGCCTTTCCCTTTTGAGCCTCTGGATTCCATAATCAGAGAACTGTAATGGACTAGAATTTTCTTGAGACTGTCCCCGAGTTTCATCTTCTCTCCCTCTCCTGTCTCTATTGAACACCTCCACAGACCCAAATTCTATGGAGAAGATGGGCTTGTATGTGGTGTTGCTGTTATTACCTTTAACTTTCCTCCTAGGGAGTATCATTCTCTGCAGCTCTCTGTTTTCATTTTCTTCAGCCTGTTCCTTTTCCTTCTGAATCCTTCTGAGTTCCTCCTCTGTCTTCTTCAGCTTTTCCCTAAGGAGAATCTCCTTTCTTCGGATTTCCTCCTCTAAGCTCTCCCCTGCAGCTTCTAGTCTTTGGATCTGCATCTGCTCAATCCTGTAGAGGTTTGCCAAGCCCTTATTGTCCTGCATGGTGGCAAGGACAGTACCAACCACAGATGAATTCACCTGGATCCCTGAACCAAAGTTGCTGTATGAAAACTCTCTTGGTTCTGTTGGTCTTAGGTACACATTCTGATCCCCATCGGTGCCGGCCTCACCTGTACTACGAGACTTCCGGTGAACCACAGGTTTCAGTGGGTATGCCCGGTCCACCCCAACTCTCTTCTTCGTAAAGGGGATGAGGTCCTGGTTATTTGCCTTAGGATACCGGGATGGAGAGCTTGACGAGGAAACCAAACCCTTTTCTCGGCCCTGGGGATCGCTTCCTGAATCTTGTTGGCTCATTCCAGCACAGTGGGAATAGGAGTAGCTCTGGGCTTTTGTGTAGGTATTCCATTTGGGGTGAGTATAGACATTATCCAGCATCAGGTCATTGTTGCTCAAAAGCTTTTGTTGGAAATTCTTCCTCAGGTTCCCCATTAAGGACTGCTGGGAAGAGTCACTTAGTTCATAACGGTCTTCCTTGGGTGAGTGGAGCCTTGGAGCTTCTGACTTATTGTGTGGGAGCATAATACTCTCAGGCAGATGTGGAGCCAACTGGAGACCAGCCATTCGGGGCCTGGACTGAAACCTAAGGGAGATTTAAACCAGATACCTATGAAGAGTTTGCCTGAGTTCACTCCCAGCTGCTTAAGTAAACTGTTTCTACATTTGCCCTACCCACATTTCCCTTAAACTTTTCTAGGGACGGTGGTGCTGGATCTGCCAGCGCTTTCGTTCAATAAGCGTTTGGTGGTGATTATTATCTGCCAGACACTGTGTAAGGCCCTGAGGATAGAGAAACAAATGTGATACAGGTGTTCCTGCCATCTAGCTTTACTTTCCGCCAGTACACAGTTTACTCCCTAGTAGGTGGAGAGAGCTTTGGATTGAAAGTCAGGTTTTAGGCCTGTGACATAGAACAAGCGACTTCCTCTTGCTGGCCCCTGTTTCTTCACCTGTAAACTGAAGGGTGCACTCTGAGTCCAGCCCCATCACATTACAGGTGAGAAAACTGCGGCCCAGAGGTAGTGGCTGGCACAAAGAGCTCTCAGGGCTTCTTCTTGACTTCAAAGAGCACGGAGGCCGCTCAGGGTCTGGAGCAGGTGCCTGGCTGTCAAAGCCTCATCCAAGCAGTCTCCGCGGCGCAGATGGCGGAACGTCTGTAACGTGAGACGTGGGGGCCACCTGGCCTGCAGCCGGTTTTAGATCTGGAACGCGGAAGTCACATTCTGTCATGGAGGGTTAACGGGGGCGCCCCCACTGAGAACTCCGCCTTTGGAGACAAGCCCTTGTTCTCCTGTCCCTCGGGAGGTCGAGGTGTTGACCCCTGTCTCCCCGCCCATCCGCGTACCTGAGGCTCTCGGGGACCGCTTCTGTTCAGGCGAAACCCCAGGACCTAGTTTTCCAGACCTGACTCCCGCCCCCGACAACCGGCGGCCGCAGAGGCGCACTCAGCTGGGCACTGTTAACTCCCGTTGCCTAGAGACGCGAGCGCCAAACGCGCCGAGCTGCGTCTTGCCTCAGACTCCGCCCGAGAGGCGCGCGCAGGCGCAGTCCTCACGCGGTCGGGGCGACGGGGCGGGGGGGGGGGGCGGTCAGTCTGAGTGTCGCTTGACCCAATTTCCCGCCAACTCTGCAGCTCAGTTCAGCCTTGCCCTTGGGGATCGGGGGAGGGAGCGGGAGAGGCTTTTCTAGGGCTCCAGAAAAGAAAAGCTTGCATTTTTCTGAGAACGATGCTCCCAGACCCTAGGGTGTGCCCTTCTCTGGCAAGGAGCGGAGACCCTAGATGTGACCCCGAGTCATTCCGCGGCAGGAATCCGGTGTCCGCCCGCTTAGCGCGAGTGGGCCTGCTGATAGCCTTTCTTAGCACGTTCGGCTGCTCTAGATGGGCCCCAGATATGGCTGTATACCATTTCTCCGTGCTTTCCTCGCCGATACCTTGGAGTTTGCTGTCAAATTTTCTGCTACCTAGTAACTTTCTGGGGGTAGTTTGTGGTCAGTCTAATTATTTTGATATCAAAATGTTTTACCCTCACGTGGTAATTTTAGCCGTCTCTACTTAGGGCCCAGGAATGACTCAGCCAAATGTAAGGATAATAAAATTAACTACCAGATCAAAAATAATCAGTATAACCTGGTTTCAACACTAAATGATACTTTATAACTTGTTGACATGAGAAGAGTTTGTCTTCACGCTTCAGTTCGTTTGGAACAGGCAGATGACTTCAGCTCACTTTTTTACTGTAACTGCTCAAAATTCATGCACATAGAGACTGCAGTAGTCGGTGTCCATACTAAACCATGTCGTATTACAGCTTTTACACATGCAGTCCTTTTATTCCTGTTTTTCTTCCTGGTTGGCTCTACTGCCTTCTCCGTCTATGCAGTTCCAGACATTTCCCACTCTACTCAGGGTCCCAGTTATCTCAGCCTGGGGCCTACATGTCGTATTACAGCTTTTACACATGCAGTCCTTTTATTCCTGTTTTTCTTCCTGGTTGGCTCTACTGCCTTCTCCATCTATGCAGTTCCAGACATTTCCCACTCTACTCAGGGTCCCAGTTATCTCAGCCTGGGGCCTGCCTCTGATCAACTCCCACGGCCTCCCTCCAGTCTGGCAGAATTTTCCAGCGTACCTCTCTCTCTTGACTTCCTTCCCTTCTTGTCTATGAGAAAGAAGGGTCTCCCTCTTTCCATGAGTTCCTTGAATTAGTTACTTTTAGTACCCTCCAGGAATTGACTTCATCACTTTACCCCTCCATCTTGTGAACTTCAAGTTGTACCTCTCCACATACTCCTCGTTGGTTTTAAGATAAGCTTAACTTTCCCTTGCAAGACAAACCTCGTTTCCCTGGGCCTCCCACCTCTCGTGTTAGGGTCCCATTCATTTCTCCTCTTCTCCATGAGCCTTCTTAATAGAAAACTCTACATTTGCTGCCCCACTTCCTCATCTCCCCCTCATTATCCCATTCATTATGGTCTAGTTTCTACCCTCTCCACTTTATTTAACTGCAAGGCTACCAGTGACTTCCAATGACCAAAGACAAAAGCTTCTATTTCTTCAGCCTACTTACTTATGATTGATTATTCACCCTTTTAGAACTCTCTTTTCACTTGCTCCTATGCTCTCTTGGTTTCTTCTTTTGTGACCTTTCTCTGTCTTCTTCCAGGTCTCTAGCATTTATGTCTTTTCCCCACCTGCTCCCTAAATTTAGGTATTCCCCTAAGCTCTCTTATTTCTCATATATATGTAGTTCCAGACATTCTCTTTCTTAGTGATTTCAGTCAAATGCTGAAATTTCAGGTTACAACTATGATTGAATGATATCCAGCTTAGTTTTAATCCTTCTCCTTAGTTACAGACTCAAATTTACATTGGCCCATTTAGCACCTTCACATGGTTGTTCCTCAGGAACCTCAAACTCAGAATGACAGAATGCAAACTCATGATCATCTCCCCATTCCCCAATCTGCTTCTTCTCCAGTGTTCCTGCTCATGCTCAAGGCATCAGTCATCTTCCAATCCTGCCTCTTTGTCATCTCTTCATTCTAACTGACCCGCAGGTCCTGTTGAGTTTACTGCTGCAATGTCTCTCATATATGACTCTTCCTTTATGTTTCTACTGCCCTAGGTGAGTTCCTCCTCTCTCTTCTCTTTAAGATGGCATCACCTCCTAACTGCTATTCTTGCCTTCAACATTGGCTCCCCGAATCCATCCTTTATGCTGCTGTCAGAATCATCCTAAATACTCCCTCCCAGCTTTATTAAGATATAGTTGACAAATAAAAATTGTATGTTTACAGTGCACAACATGCTGTTTATATATGTATACATTGTGAAATGATTAAATAAAGCTAATTACTAAATATTTTTGATCGTTTCATTTCTCCTCCCCAATGGCTTCTTCTTTACTTGTAGAATAAAGTTGAAAATGCATAATTTAGTGTGGTATTTCTACATCTCAGATTAGGTCCAGCCTACCTTCCCACTCTGCCTCCCCTTAATAAACCCAGAGACTAGCCCAGTGGGTCTCAACCCTGGCTGTGCATTAAGACTACACAGAAAGCAATATCTGAGAGTGAAGCCTGGGCATAGATATTTTTTAAAGCTTCCCCAGAGTTCCCAATGTGCAGCCAGGGTTGAGAAGCCCTGGTCTGGCCACAACTGATTACTTGTACTTTCTCACCTCAGTGGTACTACCTTATCCCAAGCTCCTCATACTGGGAGGTGGTAAAGCATAGCTTTTATGGGAGTGGATTCTGAACTAAATCCCAGCTCCATCAGTGACTGGTTGTGATTGTGTAACCTTGGATAACGTGCTGTTTTCTCCAAGAACACTTTCCCGATCTTCCCAGTCAGAATTAATCTCTTGGCTCCTTCATAATATTCTCTGTCCTTGTTATAGCACAGGGCAGGTTCATGAAGAGTTCTCAGTGGATGTTCATAGAATTGAATTACCATATTGTGCATTTTATTGTCATTACTTGCAGTGCATGTTTGTCCCTTACACTAAATTAAAAACTCTTTGAGGGCAAAGATTATATATCGTCTTTGTATATCCTACAGTGTCCCATATATAGTAGACATTCAGGAGGTTTTGAATACTATAGAAACCTTTTTAAACAAAAATTTTTTTAGAGAAAGAAATGTCAGTTAGGTACTCTGTTTAGCATTATTTTCAAAATATTGTCAAGCACAACATTCAATCCGGCCTCACTCCCATGCCTTGCCTCCCAGAACTAAGGCTGTACAATTCTCTAGGATCTAGATCCTCATTCTTGGGGGGGGAGGGGACTAGTGGAATGATGGATTTCCATGGCCACCATTGTAAATCCATATCACCTTGCCAAGTCTGCAATAAACACTGCAGTTTTCCTTCCTACACATTCTTAATCATAAGGGTAGCCAGATTCAAATGTCTACCAATTGACTTTAACCATCCTCACCCACAACCCCCTTTAACAATTCCCTTTTCCCAAAATAAGTTCACGCAATTTAGTCATTTGGCTTAGATTGATTAATTCCGTTGTGATTCTGGAGCCATGAGTTAACTTTGCTCGTGCTTGTGCTTTATTTATATAGTTAGCTATTCAATCATTATTTGGCGTTTTCTTATTAAGGTAGACTTTGGTGGGCAGTTTCCAGAAGCCTAGAAGGAGAAATAACCTCCACTGGGACCTCCTGTACATTTATCTCCCCTGCTACCAATTCCAAGTTAGGCGTGACTCAAAATTTGAGGAGAATGGAAAAAGAAAGAACAGAAAGCTTGTATGTGTCCTATTCCATTTATCTGTTTACAATGTTTAATGTTTATTGTCTGTCTCCCACCTCCAGAATTTAAGCTCCTCTAGGGCAAGCATCTTGATTTTTTCACTAATGTATGCCAACCACCTAGAACAGTGCCTAGCACACACTAGCTGTCAGTTAATATTTATTTTACGATTGAAGATATCACAAGGGCTTCTTCCTCTATGCCTTTCTCCCCACGAGAAAATAAAAAGAGGGGTGCGCTTAGTGACTGGGGTGGGGGGGGTGAAGGCTCGGTCTGCAGAAGCCAAGCCGAGACCTC